AATATACATATTTCAGCTATTTCGGATAGGGTGTTACTGAGCCACTAATTCATTCAATTACCCATACGAGGAAACCGGATATCAGAAAAAGAAAGATCGTAACTCATTAAAGCTTGACCTGATCTAGTTATTGAAATCTATAAGAAATCCTAATGCTTTTGAAACACCCCTATCTTTCAAGAGGTGAGAATCGTCAATTCATGCAACCGACTTTGTGGTATCATATCATCTTTCCCTTTGAAACCGCCCATATCAATTCCTGAATCCCAGCGGCAAAAACACAAGAAACCCTTAAGCAGTAACCTCTTCCATAGTGCGAGCCTTCCGAGGGAAGACTCGTTTGTACAAGCTGATACCGATCGAATCTTGAGGGTTAATCTTGGCATCGAAGGTGGCCTTGAAGTAACCGTGGGTACCCAGACTCTCCTTGATGAAACCGCTGCGGCCCCTCCTGGTCCACAGCTGGAGAGCCTTGAACCAGTTGATGTCCTCCGGGTTGAAGAACATGTAGCGTACCGTGACCACCCTCTTGTGGATCTTGTATGGGTGACCGGTGAGAATTGCGCGCTTGGCGACAACGCGGGACGTATCGGGTGCCACGACTGTGCCAGTTGCAATGAGTTCCAATTGTTCGACATCTGGTTGGTCGTCTCCGTCCATGACTTCTGGGTCTTGAACGGACTTGTTCTTAAAAACAAGAATAGGGACGGCGCCCCAGGTAAGGGGTCCAATCCATGTTGCAATGGCACTGCGGCCAGGGTGGAGGAAACGGTCGAACTTATGTACGTTGTTCGGGGTGTTATCGTTCGATGAGAAGATAGGGTTGACGACCAGGCGGCGGGGTCCGCACTGAACAATGAGCTCTTCCTTGGACTTCAGTGGCTCTTCGATGTTAGAGGTCAAAGTCATGTTCACGTTAACAACGGTGTTCTTGTGCTCGTGACGGAGGAGAGAAAAGAGGCACAGCGGCTGTGGCTTGTTGCGAAGAGATGTTGACACAGCACGAAGGTGGACATCCACGCGGATACCAGGGTTAACACCACCGACAAGGGCCTCCCTGAGCGTCCTGTTCTTGGAACCCTTGTAATCAATGATCTTAAGCAGTCGACGCCAGTCCTCTGGCTCATGGGGTCGGTCTTCCCTTGTCTCCCAGGGACTGGACTTGAAGTTCTTCAGACCTCTGAAACGTGCCAAACGTTCTCTCGCAAGAACATTAGGGTGAAGTTCGATTTCGTCGGGGAATTCCAGATCCTCCTTGGCTTCCTTTCTGCGGCTGGCCCGATATTCCTCCAAGTCTCTTTCCTCGTCTTCGGGTGATGGGTCAACAAACATCTCTGACTGGGGGTACTCGGTAGCTCCGGCTTCCGTCATCGCGTCGTGGTTGTCTGGGAAGACACCGTCTTCTGGTGCTCCGGCTGTGTCCAAAGCCATCTCCTCGTCCTCTCCATCGCTGATGTCTGATCCGGAATCGGACATATCGTCCAAGAACCATGCAGATTGGTACTCTGATGTACCCTTTGGTAGCTTCTTGGGTTTAGCAGGGATGTGAGAATCATCGTCTGAGAAGTAATGATGTTCATCAAGTAGGACACCCCTCCGTTCCTCCTCGGGGATTTCCATGTCATCATCCTCCATTTCGATCTCTTCCGGTGCCACAACAGCCAGATCATCGATGTCTGCAGTTGGGGCATCCAAGACTTGGGGAGTTTCGGTCTCATCAACATTCATAGTATCGTCGCGTTTGCCTCGTGCTTGCGGCAATGGGGCCGCTGTAATTGAGTCGATCTGGAAATCACCCCAGCCGGGGATGTGGACTAAACGGTCCGCTTTCAATCCCCTTCCACGTACAACGCCAGTCACGACAACATCATCCACAACTTCTGAGTTGGTCTCGGGCCAGGAGACGTTTTCGATGAGCATCCAGCTACGCTCATCACGCCAGCGGATACCCTTCGGCGTAGCGGTACAGAGAGAACGGATGGCGTTGGAGCATTCTTGTCTGGAATCCACAGAGAGAACCTTCTCCACTGATGGGAAGAAATGGTTGATGAATGACTTCAGCGAAGAGGCGACCTGTGGCCGTTTCTTGGGTGGGTTGATCTTATCAAGTCCCTAAGCAGTCTAGTTAGTACCATGAACGCTAAGAAACAGATGAAATCCCATACCTGAACAACTGCAAGGACATTGGAAATACCCTGGCCCTCGATCGAGCGCAGGATAAGTTCGCCTTGTCCCTGAACTTCAACCTCCGACGAAAGAGCCACGACCACAAAGTCCGCCATTCGACACACATCCAACGCATTCATCAAATCATACTTCGCGGGGATATATTGAACACTCTGTCGGAAACGGTCGATGCGCACGCGGGAGATGGTGTCAGGGGAGACCTCGCAAGAGACGTCCACGCTCTCGTTCAGGGACCGTATGATAGCGGCAACATCGATGTCGGCCGACAACGGCACAACAGCGACATGACGGGGAGCACCATTCTGACCGGAGAAGATGCTGGTTGCTTGGGCCTTCTCCTGGTGTTTCACCTGCTGCTTCTGGCGGGCTTGGTTCCTCCGATCAAGCTTCGACATCAGTTGTTGATGAGGGGTCTTGCGCGTGCCCCGCTCGCCTCGTTCAACTTTGCCTGCAAGGCATTAGCAACAGGTTCTAGACCATAAAAAAGTACAGTAGAAAACGCGGTCTCGTCGTACCCTTCGCCTTCTCTTTCAGCGCACCCTTAGACGCATGCTTGGTCTTGAATGGCTTGTGGGAAGTTTTGGTGGTGGAACGGTGATGGTGCTGCATCGTTTGGGTGGGCGCCGAATTGGCACCGCTGGACCCTTTAAAACGGAAGGGGAGAGAGTCCAGTGTGAATTATTTACAGAGAATGTAAAATAAAAAGCGAAACTGAAATATTATAAACCGATACACAGTAAACAGCCCAGCAGGTCCCCAGTGGGCAATGAGATCGCCTGGCGGTCAGTTTGCAGAAAAAAAATCCGCTGTGGTGGACAAGCGAAAGGGAAAAAAAAGTCTTGGCATGAATTTTCCTGCGAAAGACCCGCAAAACCTCCGGATCGTTGCTCCAACACCTTTCTTCTTACCTTTACACTTTTGATTGTTTTGCTCGATTTTTTCACTTTTTAACTTTCCTTAATTTACCTATTTTCCTCGCCTTCACTCTTCTGTAGTTCACCACAGATGGCGGATAACCCGTCAGCCAAGGCTGTCGCGCCGGCCAACAAAAAACGCAAAGAGAATAAAGCACTCATCGAAGCGCAACAAAAATATGGACGAGGAAGGGCAATTCCGATGCAAACCGTGAAGGACAAGAAGCTGCGCGCCAATCTCAGGTCCGTCGAAAACAAGTTCAAACAAGCTGCGCTTAAGGCAAAGGATGCGGAGATTCTCTTGGAGCACGAAGCCGGATTCCTCGAACCCGAAACAGAGCTGGAGCGGACATACAAGGTCCGACAGGATGATATCAAAGAGGGCGTTGGGATCGAGACAGCGAAAAAGGGCTTCGAATTGCGACTGAACGACTTTGGACCCTACCGCGCAGACTATACGAGAAACGGACGTGACCTACTGTTGGCTGGCCGGAAGGGACATGTTGCGACAATGGACTGGCGTGCAGGACGACTAGGATGCGAGCTCAATCTGGGAGAGACAGTTCGGGATGCTCGGTGGTTGCACAATAACCAGTTCTTCGCCGTGGCCCAAAAGAAATACGTCTACATCTACGATCAAGCTGGAACGGAAATTCATTGCCTCAACAAGCACCTTGAACCGCTCTTCCTCGAATTTCTTCCATACCACTTCCTTCTCGCTAGTGCTGTGAGTATCATCCCTGTCCGGGTCAGTAAAGCTTGTCTAACGACCATGATTACTATAGCAAATGAGCGGCTACCTCAAGTACACCGATACTTCCACCGGACAAATGGTCGCCGAACTGCCCACCCGTATGGGCGCTCCAACATCATTGGCTCAGAACCCATGGAACGCTATCATTCATGTCGGCCACCAGAATGGAACTGTCAGCTTATGGTCTCCTAATTCCCAGACGGCGCTGGTGAAGGCCCTCGTCCACCGAGGCCCGGTTCGTTCCATGGCGATGGATAGATCAGGTCGGTATATGGTTTCAACCGGCCAGGATATGAAGATGAACGTGTGGGATATTCGCATGTACCGCGAAGTGCATTCGTACTCATGCTACCAACCAGGCGCCTCCGTTGCGATCAGTGACCGCGGTTTGACAGCCGTTGGCTGGGGCACCCAGGTCAGCGTATGGCGCGGCCTCTTTGACGCCGCCGCCGCCGACCAAGGCAAGGTCAAGAGTCCGTACATGGCTTGGGGCGGAGATGGCCAACGCATCGAGAATATGCGCTGGTGCCCCTTCGAGGATGTGCTTGGCGTCACCCACGACCAGGGCTTCGCCAGTATCATCGTCCCCGGCGCCGGCGAACCCAACTTCGACGCTCTGGAGGCCAACCCTTACGAGAACAAGAGACAGCGCCAGGAGGCCGAAGTACAGGGTCTGCTCAACAAGCTGCAGCCCGACATGATCTCCCTGGACCCCACCTTCATCGGAAAGCTGGACACCATCAGCGACCAGAAGAACCGCGAAGAGCGCGACCTCGACCGCAGACCCGAAGACACCATGGAGAAGCTCAAGAACCGTGGCCGCGGCCGCAACAGCGCCCTGCGCAAGTACCTGCGGAAGAAGGGCCGCAGGAACGTCATCGACGACAAGCGGGTCAAGGCCGAGATGCTGCGCAAAGAGCACCAGGCTCGTGCAAGGGACAAGCTCCGTACCGAGCGGGAGGACCTGGGCCCTGCGCTGGCCCGATTCGCCAAGAAGGAGATCTAGTTCGGTCACTGCTTTCGGTGAATACATGGATATTGCTTTTTTGCTTCTTTCCGTCAGGAGCTTTTCATATACCCGATGCTCTCGTAAGAGCTACAGCTCTTATTGGTTTTGTTCACGAACGAATTAACTCTGCATTTGTGAGGCGTTGGTCAAGGGTGTGGAATATGGGATTTCATAAAAAAGTTTTCTTTCAAGCTTACGCCTTTTCTGTGTAGTGAATAGACCACCAGCAAACATTTATAAACATCTCTCATACGAGAAAAACCATAGATCATAATCTACTGTTCATCCACACTTCCAGAACCCCTGGGAACCCCAGCATTCCACCTCTCCAAACTCTGTTCATAAGCCCCGCTCCCCTTCCATGCACTGATAATCAAGTTGATAATATGCTGCATCCCCTTCCCATTCTTCACCTCGGCAAACACAGTCGGACCCCCCTCCCTCATCTTCGCCGCATCCCTCTCCATCACCCCCAAATCGGCGCCAACAATATCCGCCAAATCACACTTATTCACCACCAGTAAATCCGACCCTGTAATGCCCGGTCCACCCTTCCGGGGCACCTTATCACCTCCGGCGACATCAATAACATAGATGATGAAATCTGCCAGCTCCCGCGAGTAGTTGGCCGCGAGGTTATCACCGCCAGACTCGATCAGGAGGAGATCCGTCTGGAATTGCTTGTGGAGGGATTGCAGCGCAAGGAGGTTCGCGCTGATGTCCTCACGCACGGCGGCATGCGGGCAGCCACCCGTTTCAATGGCGCGGATGCGCTTGGACGCGAGGGCTTTGTGGCGGTTGAGGAATTCGGCGTCTTCGCTGTTGCGGGGTAGAGTTTTATGTTAGCGGGGCCATTTTTATCTTTTTTATTTTTCTACGATAGTTGAAGGTGTTTACCGGGTGAAAATGTCGTTGGTCACTGCTGCGATGTTATACTCGTTTCGGAGAGCTCGGCATAATGCGAGCATTAGGGCTGTTTTTCCGGATCCGACAGGTCTGTTTGTTTGGTGCTGTTAGTGTTTCGATTGGGATTCTTCTTTTGTTCCTTTTTTTTTTTTT